AGCAAGAAATTTAAAGTTACTTTCAACCCCAGACCTTCCTATCCCCATATACAAGGCAGGAAATACTCTGTTAGGCTTATAGGGCCATATAAAGCTTTATAGGACAAAACCTGCAAACTATGAAATCCCAGCTTTATTTATTTATTTTTGCATTTCCTGAAACTGATTCTCATGCAATAACCTGAAGGTAAATTATGCTACAACTTTGCTGAAGGGAGGCAAGCCTAAACTGTGCCTGCATAGTAATCCTCCTGGGAACCTCACCTATGCCACCATGAGCTCCACAGAAGAAAGACAGATAGGGTTGCCAGGTCTGGGTTGGAAAACACCTGGAGACTTTGGGGGTGGAGCCAGGAGAGGGTGGGGTTTGGGGAGGGGAGGGGCCTCAGCATGGTACAATGCCATAGAGTCCACCCTTCAAAGCAGCCATTTTCTCCGGGGGAGCTGATCTCTGTCAGCTGGAGATGAGTTGTAAAAGCGGGAGATCCCCAGGCCCCACCTGGAGGCTGGCAACCCTAAAGGCAGATAACAAATGAAACAAATAAATAAAATAATATCAAATAAGACACTGAGGCTAAAGCTCTCCAGTTCTACACCAGCCATCTTCAAGGAGAACTCCATATCGAATGCATGCTTGTTCCACTGCAATTACTGCATCTGACACTTTGTCAGGTTGGATGATTCCGCATCCACAGAAACTTCTGATGTTTCTTCAAAGAACTTTTCCATTGAAGCAGATAAATAGTGGGTCTGCAGGCATCTAAAGTAACTCGATAATGTTTTAAGAACATGTGAAGAAACTGGAGTTAGAAATACATAACAAAATGTCTGGATGTATTCCAAAGATAAATTTCTGGCCCTAAAATGCTTCCTTTAAATTGAGACTATTATGAACTGATATGTCAGTTTTTGCATTAGTTTTGCCATGCATCTGAAGCCAGCTGGCAGCTGCTGCTGGCATATGGCCAGAAGTAATCTTGGTACAACTGTAGCTAATTTAGAATAAGTTTTTTAAAAATGGGATCAAATTGACAAAACGATGCTTTGATTCTAAGACATTCTGAATAACCCACTGGACCAGCATGATTCGAGTCCAGTAGCGCCTTAAAGACCAACAAGTTTCCCAAGGTATAAGCTTTTGGGAGTCAAAAAAATTGGTCCAGTAACTTTGAAAAAGTCAAGATTCCCCACCAAGAGCACACATGTAAACTCATCCTTGTGATCCATATAGCAAGTATAGCAAAGGGAGCGGTGGCGCAGGCAGTTAAACGCCTGCACTGTAACATCACCCGAGCAGCCACTATGGCTGTTCGAGTACCACCGCGGTCGAGGTGAGCTCTCGACCTTCGTCCCAGCTCCCGCCTACCCAGCGGTCTCGAAAGCAACCTAATTGCAAGTAGGTAAATGGGTACCCACCCTTAGAGGGGTGGGGGGCACCCTGTGTGGTCGGCTGAAGATGGCGGAGATAGCGGAGACAGCGGCAGTGGCGGCAACGATGGCGGCGGCGGCGATCCTGGCGTGGACGGCATTGGTGATGCGGCGAGCAAGGCGGTGGCGAGCAAGGCAAGGTGCGCGTTTGAGCCATCCCTGGCGGCGGAGAAGGAGTACACCGAGGGCTGCCGTGAAGAGAGAAGAAAGGGGCGTGCGCAGATGCCGAGTTCCGGCTCAGCGGAGCCGGAAAGGACGTGGCTGGGCCGGAAAGTAGGCGGAGCTGCGCGCCTAAGGAGGAGATCGCCACCACTGAACGCCGGAGACGCCAGAGAACGCCAGAGAAAGAACAACCCGCTGGACCAGGAGACCCGACCATGCCGAGCCAACGGAGTAACAGCAATAGCCACCACAGAGGGGGTGCCGGTAGGTTGTCCCACCCCCCCTTCATACATTGTGGCCCTAGCTAGGAACACAGGTGATTAGCACCAGAAACCCTGTAAGCCGCTCTGAGACCCTAGCCATGGGACAAGAGTGGGATATCAAGTCTAATGTAAAAAAAAAAAGTAGATCATCAGAGATGTCCTAGCTAAGCAAGATCATTGCTACTGAGCAGGATCAGGTTGAAGTCCACAGAGAAAGAGGAAGGAGTTCAACTTCCCTTCTTACTAGGGTTGCCAGGCAGCAATCAACAGATAGGGTTGCCAGCCTCCAGCTGACAGGGCTCAGTTCCCCTGGAGAAAATGGCTGCTTTGAAGAACAAGAAGAAATTGGATTTAAAACCTGCACGTCACTACCCGAAGGAGTCTCAAGAGTGGCTTATAATCTCCTTTCCCTTCTCTTCCCCACAACAGACCTCCTGTGAGCAGTGTTCCCTCTAAGATGAGTTATTGTGAGCTAGCTCACAGTTTTTTAGCCTCCGGCTCACACCTTTTTGTCTTAGCTCAGGAAGGATGGCTCCAGAGCAAACGAATTTATGCAGTAGCAAAATCGCTCGCTCACAACTTTACTGCCAGTAGCTTATGAAGTAGAATTTTTCCTCACAAGACTCCACAGCTTAGAGGGAGCATTGCCTGTGAGGTTGGTGGGGCTGAGAGAGCTCTTTCGTGTACTGCTTGTGAGAGAATAGCTCTGAAACAACTTGTGATTGACCCAAGGTCACACCAGCAACTGCATGTGGAGAAGTGGGGAAGCAAACCCGGTTCTCCCAGATTAGAGTCTGCACTCCTAACCACTACACCAAACTCTATGGTATTGTACCATGCTGAGGTCCCTCCCCAAACCCCACCCTCTCCCGGAACCACCCCCAAAGTCTCCAGGTATTTTCCAACCCAGAGCTGGTAACCCTACCAACAGGAAGGGGCCAGGGACATGGGGGGCACCATCAACAACACTGTGATGTCGCTTCTGGGGAAAAACAGGAGCTAGGCAGGGAATCCTTACAGCAGCCCCACCTCTTGCTCTGCTGGAGGAAATATTTTCATATTTTTAATTTCATGCTTCCTTGCTTGCTTCCTTTGTAATCAGAGCAGACAAAGAGTGGGGAGGCAGTGCCATAACCAGTGTTCCCTCTAAGCTGAGTTAGTGTGAGCTACCTCACAGTTTTTTAGCCTCCAGCTCACATATTTTTGTCTCAGCTCAGGAAGGATGGCTCCAGAGCAAACTAGTTTATGCAGTAGCCAAATAGCTCGCTCACAACTTTAATGCCAATAGCTCACAAAGTAGAATTTTTGCTCACAAGACTACACAGCTTAGAGGGAACATTGGCCATAACTAGGGATAAATTCACTCTCTCAGCTATGGATACACAGGTAAGATGCCATCTTCTCATGCTACACATTTCCCAAGTGGCATTGCAAGAACGTGCATCTCAGAAAGAGACAACAGATTAGATGCTAATAAATAACTTTTAAAAATAGTTTCCAGGGCTGGGAAAGCCCTCCCCACGTTTACCAACAGGTCTGGGGGCTGACTGGGAGTCCACATGATGTTGTGGCTGGAGGAACCCCCTATGCCTACCGTCAGTGCTAGGACCAGGCCAAGTGGCTTCAGCAACATTGGCAGGGCAGGAAAAATCTTCCCTGTACCCACATAGCCCGGAGAAATAACAATGGAGGGGCATGGCAGCAGCAAAGTGGCCGAAGCATCCAGGAAATGTAGGCAGGATGTGCCGAGCAGACTCACCTGCCAGGAGCGGTATGGGGGGGGGGAATCAGGGAGGAGACCCCACCAGCACATCCAAAGATAGTTGGCCAGGTTCACAGCCACAGAAGGAGCATGGAGACAGACAGATGGTGACTTCCTGTTTTGAAACCTCAGGTTTAGCAGGGCCGATTAGGGAGTTAAGCACAGAGGGAGGCCCATTGGCTCAAAAAACGGGAGAGAGTCAGGCTCCACCCCCAATTGGAGGGTACGGGTAGAGTTTGGGATGGCCCCACCTCCAGAAGAGCCTTAACTAAGCATAACCCCAAGGCAGTCTGGGAGGGTGGGACCTGCCACTCCTAAGCAATCAGAGAGTAGACCAAGAGCTGGGGAGACAGCCCTGTGTTGGAAACACCCTTAGATTCTGACCCCCCACCCAGGCAGAGTCTAACAAATGGGCAATTTTAAGCATTCTCTAACAATTCTCTTCCAAGTTGCTAAACCACTTCCAAATGAATCACTAAATTTAATGAATTACCTGTGATGTGCTACAAATGCTTCCCCCCTCCCTTTTTCCTTTCTGCAAATGAAAAGGTTACGGTGGTTAAAATTTCAGTGCAAACCCAAGCAGTTAAAACAGCCTCACTAATCCAGCAGCTGTAGTGATATTCAGTTTCTCTCTTAAGTGACAAATGTGAATCCTCACACATTTTCTCTCCATTTGTTCAGCATATCTGATTACTACTACTCAGAGCACTAAAGTTCCTGTCCCCCCCCCCTTAGTCTGCATGGCAAGCCAGGAGATTTCAACAGTGCTAGCTTTCAACTGTGCTAGCTTGAATAGTTCATGCATAAGGCTGATCTGATTACACTGATTCATTTATTAAAATACTTATATACCACCTTCTCATACATGGTGGACGTGCAGAATTCTGCTCACAATATTACAGTTTTCAACCTGTTTTTCATGCTTTAAAGACACAGAACTAAGACCACACATAGCTCTTGTTGAAAGCTCCACAGAAACAAAGGTGGCCAAAATTCATTATTGGTAACAATACAGTACAAAATGTTTTTTAAAAAGGTCCGGACACACTGGCCTGGTCATTGGACTAATGAGTGTTTTCCAAACAAAGGTGAGTTCTGTCGAGAAAGCCCTGAACAAAAAACTTTTTAGGAAACCAGCATCTACTGCTACCCTTTTAAAATGAATCTACGTTCATAAATTATGCAACATCCAGGTAAAGCATATCTAACCATTCATAAAGCAAAGTCAACATTTTCTCAGATGCCACTGAAAGCCAGCGGCTCTTCGTTATAATAATCAAGCCTTCCATATAACAACATCACTAGCTGCTGACTTTAAAAGGTTGCCACATAAGGGGGTTTAGCTTTATTATACCAAATCCACTAGATGAATTATTACTTACAAGGCACCGCATGGCGATAAAGGTTATCTCTAATAGTCTGCTGCAGCTCATGATCCGGAGATCCTTTCTGAAACCTCTGGTTGAGATAATGTCTCAGATCTTTGTTCAGACGACTTCCTATGGGGGGTGGGGGAGAAAAAAAATCACAATTGAGTGAAAAAGGGATTAAGATTTCCAGTTCCGGAAAATGTTACATTTGCAATATACATCTCCTCTGAACTATAGCATAGTGCCTCTTGCCTCCTCTAGAAATTGCTAATTACCAAACATGACTTGCTGTAAATAAGAAGTCTCCTTTGTCTTATAACCCAACTTTCTTCTTGGTGATGCTAAAGAGATTATCATCCCCTAATAAATATCTCACATTTTATGGATGTGCCATTTAAAGCTGGAATTAAGATGTCATACGTACTTTACTGGTTGCATGTGATTATTAATGTAATGTTGTCTTCATTAAGTTATGACACTTCCCCACATTGTTGCTTTTTTTTTATCCTACCTCCAAATTACTTACTGTTTACCTTCTCTCATCATTTCTCTGGTTAGCTGTTATTTCATATGACATGTACACACACAAAGATCAAGATGTAACTTTACAGGGCATAAAAAGAAGTAGGCTCAGCCCTGCTGTCCCAATGTAAATTCTTGCTATAAGTAGGGTTAGATAATAATGGCTCTAAAATTCAATAGGAAAACACTCGAGCTGGAAAAATCCCTCTGGTTCTTAAAAAAATATTGGCTCCATATCTCCACACCCTTCAAATTCCACAACAATGTACAGCTTTGTCTTTGGCCAGATTTAATGTTATGCCATCTGCAATCTTGTATGGAAGGTTTCCAAAGGTACCATATTTAGCTTGATATTGTCCCTATAAGTTAAGTTGCATTGAAACAATTTCACGTATCCTTTTTTAGAGATTTGTACTAAATATTGAAACCCTATTTTGGCAACTATGATACGAGTCTCTGATCACATTATGGTTCATTTTATCCTCAATGACACCTCTCTGGATATAATTGAGAAGGTGGCTACATTTTTGCAATGTGCTATAGTGCTGTGATAAGACATAAAGAGTCGATTTGATGGTATATTTACCCAACTGTAATCTAAAAGCAATCTATATTCTATATTCCATCTTATCTATTTTATATGCCAATAAAGGACTGACTGATTGATTGAACTTTACAGGCTTTCAGATTGCTTCCCAAGAACTCCAGAGTTTCACAGTGAAGGATCCAGATAACAATTCCCCTCCTCTATTCAGCTCCTGTCATTAAAGTTATGAGCGAGCGAGCGATTTGGCTACTGCATAAATTAGTTTGCTCTGGAGCCATCCCTTCCTGAGCAAAGACAAAAATGTGTGAGCCGGAAGCTAAAAAACTGTGAGCAACTCAGCTTAGAGGGAACAGTGCCACTGACTAATCCACCCTAGAATTAGGTAGTGCAACTTGAGGCACACCAAGACAAATGCAAATACATCCTAGCTATGCCATAGGATACTGAGCCAGGATAGCAAACACAGGAGCATTGTCAATCACAGTACACAGCTGGTGGAAAACCTTCAGCTTCACAAGTTGCATAGGCCTGCCATATGTTCCCCAAAAGACTTCTACAGCTCACAAGAGCGCCTCAGTATACATGTCAGCTTTGAAAGGTACACTTGAATCAAAATGGAAATTCCGGAGAAGTACCCATGTTTGGCTGTAAGGAATGCCAGCCAGTGGGGGGTCACCCATTCACACCTGACAATGTGGGCTGTAGTCCACCAAAGCTTATGCTACAGTAGAAACATATTAGCCTTTAAGGTGCCATAAGACTCCTGCTTATTGTAGGCCCCAAACACTGATCTATTCGTAACAAAACCCTGTCATGTGTAATGGGGAAGAAAGTATATCAATAAGAGCAAAACGCTTGATATTTCACACAAAAATCAAAAGCAGAGCAAACTCGACATTCATTCTACCAAAATATATTTTATTATTTCTTGTTTATCTATTTGGAAAATTTCTGTGCCATCTTTCCAGGGAACCTGCCCAAGGTCGCTTACAGTATAAACCATGATAAAAATATCATAAAAGCCATTAAAACCCATACACAAAACCAGTGCCAGAGCATAAACCGATTCAAAACATGAAGCAGCTTTACAAGATCTTTAAATATTTCTCAGGCTAAAAACAGAATATCTAAAATGTTTAAAAAAAAAAAAAACAGACCAATTGTGAAAGTTTAAATTAAAAATTTAAGACACCAACAAAAAACTGGCCTTTTGTCATAAGAGTTCCTTCCAATAACAGAAACTTAATAGTGGGACAACAGTCTAAGGCAAGGGTTCTCAACCATTTCAAGTATGAGAACCGCTTTTTCAACTTCAATAAATTTCACAGACCCTCCTCAGTACTTGTACTATTATCATCTGTGGACTGAGAGAAAATACATAATGACAAAAAGTTAAAAATGACAATGCTTAGTTCTCATATGAATTTGTGGATCCCTTGCAATAACTTCACCGCTTCCAGGTTGGAAATCAGTGGTCTAAGCTCCCTTTCACACAGAAAAAATTTATCCCACTTTTTTCATCCATTTCTGCCTCGTATTTGATGTGAGGTGGGAATGGTTGTTTCAGACAGCTTTAAACCCATTTTGTAAGTGGCTGTAAATCACTATTTTCTTTTCAGACCCCAGCACAGTTTCCTGCACTCTGTGTGTGTGTGTGTGTGTGTGTGTTTGCTAAAAGGTCAAGAGTTTCTGTTTCCCTGCATGATACCCCCCAGCTTGCCATTTGGAGACACATTTGTTTTCCTCTCAGGAAACAGAATGCAAGACAAATTTGACAGGCCTACCAACACTGTTAACACCTCTAGGTGACACCTGCTGTGATTCAAAGAAGATAAGTTGTTGATTTGTCATTGCATAGAAGTGGCCAAAGGAAAAAAAGGCAGGAGAAAGGGAGGCAGAGTGGGTGGACTGCATCACAACAACTACAACTACTACAACAAAAAACCAGGAACAAAATGGATTTTGAAAAAGAAATCCAAATTAAGGTTTCATTAACTGCAGGAGGGCAGCAGTTTATCATCAAGGTGTAGATCCCTAGTCCAGCAGGGCTGAGACAAGAGCTGGGACAGAACTGCTGGTGAGGTAGCCATTTGGTCAGTTCTCTAAGTTTCAGGGTATATCAACACACCATGGTATTTTTGGTTGAAGGAATCCTCTTGGGAAGTGATGATGAATGCTCACAGACTCACCTGCTGGGAGTGCACCATGTTTGTCTTCCTCCCTGAGAACAAGACGGACTACACTTGTCAAAAGTGTCAATTGATAGGACTCTTAGAGGAGAAGGTTCAGAGCCTGAAGGAAAGGATTACTCTCCATGAGCAAAGTATCAGTCCAGTGGCACTTTTAATACCAACAAAGTTTTATTCAACTTAAACTCTTAAAGGTGCCACTGGACTCAAACTTTGTTCTGCTGCTTCAGACCAACATGGCTACCCCACCTGAATTTTAGGTAAAGGTTTCCCTTGCTCGAAAGGCAGTCGAATCTGACTCTAGGGGGCTGTGCTCATCTCCGTTTCCAAGTCGAAGAGTCAGTACTGTCTGAAGACTTCTCTGTGGTCATGTGGCTGGCATGACTAAATGCCAAGGTGAACGGAACGCTGTTACCTTCCCACCGAAGTGGTACCTATTTATCTACTTGTAATTTCTTGCTTTCAAACTGCTAGGTTGGCAGGAGCTGGGCCAGAGATGGGAGCTCACTCCATCACGCTGCACTAGGGTCTTGAACTGCCGAGCTACAGACCTTCTCATATGTAGCCAATCCTAATGAGTTTCTGCTGTTGGGTGTGGCCTATTATGCTAATGAGTTCCTGCTGGGGGTGGCCAACTTGGGAGCCAGCCGGAACTCCGTTCCTGTGTGTTCCTGCCCAAAAATAGCCCTGGGTGACTCCCTTCTGAGGGGTATGGAACTGTCATGTGTCCAGGCCTGACACCCTGGCCCGAGAGATGTGCTGCTTGCCAGGGGCAAAAATTAAAGATATTATAGACAGAATTCCAAAACTCATCAAGCCTACAGACCATTACCCATTCATGATGGTCCATGTGGGAACCAACAACACAGCCATGAACACCATCAAAAGCATTAAGGCTGACTATGAAGCTCTCAAATGGAAGCTAAAGGGAATGGGGACAGATATGCCGTTCTCCTAGATTCTTCCTGTCATATGAAGTTGAATACAACGGGAACAGGCAATAATGGAGGTGAACCACTGGCTGCATTGCTGGTGCTGGCAGGAGCGATTTGGATTCTGGGACTACAGGCTAAGTTTTCTGGATAACAACCTACTAGCATATGATGGACTTCACCTGTCAAGGTCAGGGTAGAAAGTGTTTGGCAGAAACCTGGGGAGATCCATCAAGAGGACTTTAACAAGGGGAAGGAGACAACCAACATAGGGATGTAAATGAAGGAGAGCAAACAACAGAGGCCCACCTGGAAGGGTCAGGTCTAATGGAGCCAAAGGTGCGGGGCTTCAGGTGTCTATGTACCAATGCCCAAAGCTTGGGAAATAAGAAGGAAGAGCTTGAGATTCTAATTCAGACAGAAGGATATGATTTCGTAGGCATTACAGAGATTTGGTGGGATGATTCCCAGGACTGGAGTATAGAAGTGGATGGATATGAGTTGTTCAAGAAAAACTGAAAGGGTCAAAGAGGAGGCAGGGCTTGTTTGTCAGGAAATACTGGAGGAGGAGGGTGACAGCCCAGTGGAAAGTGTCTGGGTGCAGATAATGGAAGGAAGGACAAACAGTATTGTGGCTGGAGTCTGCTACAGACCATGAGGAGGTGGATGCTGCTCTCCATGAACAGTTTGGCAGGGTATCCAAAGAACATGACCTGGTACTGGGAGACAAACTCTGCAAAGCGTCCACAGTCACACAACCTTCTGACTTGTCTGGACAACAACTTCCTTCATCAAATGGTGGAGGAATCCATGAAGGGCTCAGTCAAACTCAACTTAATATTGACCAACAGGCAAGAGATGGTAGATGGGGTAAAAGTGGTGGGGACCTTAGGGGAAAGTGACCGTGTCCTGCTAGAATTCCCTTTGTTGTGGGGGACC